CTGTTTTGAGTTCTGTGAAAGTTTGTTGAAATCAGGAAATACAATTTATATGAGTTCAGTGTCTGCCTCCTGAAGTTATAGGTATTGAAGTGCTTTAGTCTTGGTGGATGTTTCTGCTTGTGAAATAGAATATCAAACTACCACAAAGGGTATAAAGGCAAATGGACATGTATGTGGACATTCATGCATACATTAATTCAAAAATATTCTCTGTGTGACACTACCTGTTGGGCACTGTTCTGGTGCCAGGAGTAGACTGGTGAGGCAATCAATGGTCAAGGCTCTTGCCCTCCTGGAGCTTACATTTGCATGGGTGCATCAGACAATAAACAAACAAGTGAACAAGAGTAATATGAGGTTAAACTCAGTTCTATACGGAGATGAAAAGGTCAGTTGTGTTAGAGAATGTGTGCCTGGGACCATGTGAGATTGGATATTGTAGTCACTGCTGATTGTCTTTTATTTGTTTTTATTTTTTATTTTTTTGCTGGTTGTCTTTTAATTGGAGCTATTTCTGCTCCAACCTGCCTCCCTCCTTGTACTTGCTGGCACAACTTTGATTTTTTTCTGGGCGCTTAACCTCTGGTCTTCTTAGCAGTATGATCCCTTCCAATGTCAATTGTGATTGTCTCTTCCTTCCTGCCGGTGATTAGTGTGAGTAAAGCTAGGCCTTGGCCAGTGGGGTCAGAGAGTTGGCTGTTGGGGGGCCCCTGACAGAGGTTTTTCTTGCTGATAAGAACTGCATGGAAAGAAATTGTATTTTGTTCACTAAACACCATCCTGTCTTCATGATATATGGAATCTGTGACCCCAAAGGAAACATTGCTGGCCTGCTGAAGGTGCAGAGTGGAAAGTTGGAAAGGACCTCGGTCTTTGATGGAGTCTCAAAGCCACTGATTTATCCAACCTCAGAACAGTCCTTCCTTCGTGCTATATATTGTGTGTGTGAGTTACCAAGCTTTGTTTTCACTATTTCTCCTAGGTCTTCTTTGTTACTGAAAATATCCCAACTGATATATGTGAGTCAGAGGAAGACTTGTTGAGAAGGTGACTTTCAAGCTAATATATGACTGTCATGAAGGAGCCAAGTTTTGGAAAGAGCTGGGGGGTGGAGAGGGGCAAGGAAAAGAGCATTCTAGGCAGTGGGGACCACAAATGCAGAGGCCCAGAGGTGGAACCAGGCATGATGGTTTCAAAGAAATGAGAGCTGACCACTAAGGTGGTGTGTTGAGTGATAGCAATATATGTAGAGACAAGGTCAGAGAGGTAGGACATTGCCAACTTACATGAGGAACTTGGACTTTTTTCCCCCCAACTTTTTTTATTGTAGTAAAATAGAGGAACATTAATGCAGTGGAAACCACTGGAAGAGCAGGTCCATTTCTTTCATTTCTCCATCCCTCACACCCAGCATGTGTAGTTGAACTAAAATCTAGCTTACAGGTTTTTATTTTGATCAAAATAATTCTAATAACAGAAAGATCACTTGAAAGTGAATATTTTTCTCTAATGCTCCAGTGTAGAGAGATAAGACCTTTCCTTGACAACAGGCAAAGGGGTTTCTCACAATTCTTTGATCAGACACAACTTCAGAAACTAAGTTTACAGGTAAAGAAAGTCAGGAGCACATGCAAAACTGTAGAGATGATGACTGCTAATTAGCTGCATCAAATGACTCTTGGCATTCCTAATTTTCACCTTTTTGTAACAATTCAATTCATTCCAAAGTTTTACCAGAGTAGACAGGCATGAAATGAATTCTCCACGGTAGGTTACCAATGGCAGAGAAATTGCGAGCTCTGAAATGGCTGGAAGAAATCATGTGAGCTCTGGCTCTTGCTTTTCCCTAAACTCTGTGGATTCTGTCAACATTAATTCTGTGAAATATGTAGGCTGCATTATTTGGGAGAAATGAACAGTTTTATTTTCTCTAAGCCTTATCTGTATTCCATCTTCTCCCTGAGCGCTGCTCTCATGGGGAGGATATTCGCTAGTGGGCATGTAGTGTAGTGGATGAGAACTAGGAATCAGGATGCCTGGGTGCTCATTGGGCCCGGATGTGGGAAAAAGATAACGATGTAGGGGGTTTCAGTTGACTGTAAATTGTCTGTAAATCAGTAGTGTAGTGGGGCTGCCATCATCCAACATGCTGAGTTTTCTCTGCTCTCATACTCTGGTATGCCCCCATATGCCAGCCACATGTTACTCTTTGCACTCCATTAAAAAAGTCACACTATTTCCTCCCATTGGATCCTTTAAAATGTACCATTCCTTCTTCCAGGAATGTCCTTACTCTGATTCTCTGTCCTTTAAAATGTAAAGTTTTCTCTCAAGCTTTCTGTGTTGCTCATGAACCTTGTGTGCTTTCTCAAATTCTCTCAAGCACCTCCATCTTTCTCTTGCAGCTGCACACTTTCTGGGTAATGTCATCTCCTCCTTCCCTGGTATCCTTGAGATCCCTGAGTGGTTGGAGTCTGAGCTGAAGCTCTGAACTTGCATCACCTTCATGCATCACATGCTGTACCCCTCCCCTTTCAGACTTTTGCGACTGAGACTATAAAGTCCTACTGTTTGGGTATGGGATCCAGGTGCTTGATTAGATGCTGAGGGCCTGGGAGATGCACCTGATGTACAGAGGAAACAACTCACTGTGGGGTGACCTACAGTAAAGAAAGCCAACAATTAGAGAAAGGAGCAGGGTCAATAAATTTCAACTCCTTTTGCCCTTTCTTGGGTTGTTCAGAGGTGTAGTTTCTCTGCAAAATTTCCAGAGAAGTCTTGCTTGGTGAGTAAACATGCCTCTTGAGTTGCCAGCTATGTCTCTGGCATATTGCTTAGTGGTAGCTGCTCTATTGCATTGTGCTGCCCAGTATCTTTCCTTATTTCATCCCCCCTTCTCCCCTAGCCCTTACCACCCTGGGCTTGCACCTCCTAAGTTAAGTTGCAACACTTTAATTTTTGTCCTGGGACCTTTGTGACCTCTTCCCATAGGGCTTTGTTCCTATCTCTACTGTGGGGCAGAGGAGCCCTCTTAACCCACATCCCCTTTACCTACTCTTGGATTTCTCAATGCTTTCCATTTCTTCTGTAAACTGCACTCTGAATGCTCATTGCTAGTAGACCTCTTGCTGTAGTCTATGTGTACTAATGCTTCTACATGAATTGTATGCTTATCAAGAATTGGTTATGGGCAGCCCGGGTGGCTCAATAGTTTAGCGCTGCCTTCAGCCCAGGGCCTGATCCTGGAGACCCAGGATCGAGTCCCACGTCAGGCTCCCTGAATGGAGCCTTCTTCTCCCTCTGCCTGTGTCTCTGCCTCTGTCTGTCTCTCTCTCTCTGTGTCTCTCATGAATAAATAAATAAAATCTTAAAAAAAAAAAGGAACTATAGAGTCAAATGAGATGTGGTAAATTAACTGTTAAAGTTTAGGGGGGAGCAGTGGTGCCTGGCTGGCTCAGTCAGTAGAGCATGTGACTCTTGATCTCGGGATTGTGGATTTGAGTCCCATGTTGGGTGTGGAGATTACTAAGAAGTTTTTTTAAATCTTAAAAAATGTTCAAGGGAGCACTGTAGCATTTAGAAATGTTCTGTAATCATAAGGCTCTCCAAGTGTGTTTAAATTTTTGTTCTACTTTGAAAAAAACAAAACTAATCATAGTTGATATATGCAAGAAAGAATACACAGAATGCCAATTCATGGACCAATAGTTACAGAAAAGGCCTTGGACCCATACCAAAAGATTGGCTGCACTGAAAGCTTTACAGCAATTGATGGATGACTTATACATAGGAAAAAGCCATGCTACCCAGCATTGAGCCCTGGGGGACACAAATTACCTACGGATCAATCTGCTGCTTGAAAATTTAGAGAGGAGCTAAAGTCACTTATCAATGGGGAAAGTTTTCTTAGGGAATAATTGTCCAATAGAATTGAAACAGTTCTAACTGATAAGATATTTTCGAGAAACCATGATGGAAAAGGTGAAGCAAGTGCTACCAGTATATACAAAATCCAAGTAAAGATTCTCAGCAGCTGCCTGTGGCAATACTGCTGAAATTCCAAATTCTGATTTTTTTATTGTCAAAAAGTAAAAATCTCCAATATTTAAGACATATAAATTATTTGCTTTTTGAGATGGATACTCTTCACAAAAATCAGTGTAGACAGACCCAGAATTATTCTATAAATTGATTTTTTCCCCATAAATTTATTTATACATTCTGTGAGGAAACACTTGAAAAAAACAGACATCTGGAAAGCCAATTCTTTAGCAATGTTTTCTAAATTGTAGGTCCTGATTCTTGGGGGAGGGGTCATAAAATTTACTGGAAAAAAGATTTAGAAAAATAAAATGAGATAGAATAAAGTAGAATAGAAAATATCAGTGTGCATTATATGTTGTAAAGGTATTTCATGAACATTTGTTTTCCTCTATGTGTGTATGAGTGTGGCATGTGCGTATATGGAATATAAATTTTCTAACTATGGTCAAATTTCTCTTGCCTTGTATTACTGGCAAAAACTTTGGAGGTCTATGGTATAAAATACTGCTTCTTAATGTTTTGGTTATGAATACAGTAAAGAAAGAGATTTAAATAAATGCCAGGTTATTATAACAGAATACATTTCTTTGTTCCAAGTTAGGGATCAAGGGGCTATAAAATATTTTAAAAAATAATATTGGAGTTTCATTTTAGAAGAAATAAGAGACAAGACTGGAGGTTACATATAATCATTAAAAATTGCTAACATTAAAGGAGATTTTTTCTTTTTTTTTCAATGTTGCATTTAATGGGGAGTGAAATTCCCAGTTCAACATTTACTAAATCTCAGAGAAGAGAAAAATGTTGCCTGAGGTTGACAATATTGGAAAAATTCTGAACTACAAGAGAATAATTAAGAACGTGGTTTAGTAACCGATCCCAGACAAATTGGCGGTTCCAGTGATTTACAGAGAGATGATATGTAACAATGAACTAATGATTCCTATTTATTGCAGTTGAAACTTAGCATCAGGGAAGAAGGCCTTCAGGCTATGACAAACACAGACAAATCAAAAAATGAACGAAGAAGATGGAAAAGGATGTGTGATATCAAATCTAGAGGCCTGATCTTCTCATCCTTCAGAAGGCAAAGGGCCCCCGGGAGGACTTGGTTGAACTGAATCCGTAGTCAACTACAATATGACGTGTAAAAAATGTAAGTGCTTCAAAGATATGTTCCAAAAGCTGTGTTTCCTTTTCTAAGCAACTTTCAAACATTGACTTTATTAAACAATTCATATTTATGTATTTTAAATTAAAGTATTTAAAGTTTATATGGGATCATTTTTCTGATTCTCTGTTTTAACTGACTTTCCACTTCCATGATCAGTATAAGGGCTTCTCCTGTTGTCACTGCCTTCTGTTGGCATTGTTTATCTTTCTGTCTTTTGTGCCAGGGCCTGGAATCACTGAAATGGGCAGTTTCTGGATGCAGACACCCTGGGGGGGGGCCCTACCTGTTCCACCCACCCCCTGATGCGATCTTAGATATGCAACTCAGTCTCAGAGAGACTCCCTTTGCAAGGATGGGGCTGGGCTATCACTCCACTTCATTGGATGAAAACGCAGGTAATGTACATAAAGCTCTAAGCATAGGGTCAGGCACACAGCAAATAATCAATGATAGTTTTCTCCACTATGATGTCTTAAATTTACCATTAATGTAATCGGTATTATCTTTTATACTTTCAAAACATATTTTTTCCAGCATAAGTTTTAGATTGCCTGGCATGGGGAAAAATCATTTTCATTACTCCCAGAATCTTAGGATTTTTCTCAGAATAGTAACAGACAAAAAATGATAACATTAGCTTGTGTTTTGATGGCATTTTATAACTTTCAGATTCCATGTGAGTGGCGCAATAGGCCTCATTTTCCGGGCTAGTTCAGGATGACAAATACAGAGAGGTTAATCTCGCCCTGCTCGTGGATGGGGAGAGTGGACTGACCCCACATCTCCTGATACCAAGCCCGGTTCTTTCCAGCCAATGTTGTCCTGTGTACACTCTTCCGTGTGAGCCAACGATGCACCGCATGGTAAAGCAGCCTTCCCTGAGAACCTGGAAACGGGTCCAACTTGGAGGAATCTCATTATCACTTTTCGAAGCTTTACCCTGACTGCATGTTAAGTTGTATAATTTTTCTGGATTTGGATCTCGGATGGATGCTGGTTATTGGCAAGTACTGTATCTCATTCGGGAAAAATTTTCTTCAACCTGTATTAAAAGACTGGAAAAGAAAAACAAAACAAAAATCCTTCATATGAAAGGCATTTAGGGATTGTACTGCTATTTGACTTATAAAGAAAATGGCAACAGTTCAATAGGTTTATTATCTAATTTTTTTTTAAGACCTAAGGATTTATGCCATCTGGACCTTATGATTGGTCTCTGTTCAGTTTCTCCATGAAACCCCTCACCTCTTTTTAGCCATGGCTGGGCTTCTCTCATTGTCCATATACATGACAGTTGTGGACTTTTAAAAATTATACATAAAATAGGATCTTGGTCACTTGGAAAATTGTGACATTAGTGATGTTTGGTACTTTTTATCTTGTATATACTTTTTAATCCCATCTAAATTTTCTACATTATTGACTGGGGTCAAATCATTCTGCATTTTTGCTGTGTTTTTCGCTTTCCCCAGCTTTACTAGATTTGGAAAGCTTAATTTATTCTTTTCTCTATTTTATTATGCTCACATTCACCCTTAAAAGAATCAAAATCTCATCCAGAAACAACTTACTGGCTTCTTCCTAGAATTTATGATTTTAAGAGAGCAGCAAACTGATTTAATAAAATGGAAGTTCTTTTTGAAAGTGTTTTTGCCATTGTGCATGTTCATTTCTGTTCTGTTTTTTCCCCCTCATACTATAGCACGTACCCAGCTAGACCTGGTTTGAATCCCCAGCTATTTTTCCATTCTTGTGAATTTTTAGGGTCCTGGAAGGACAGATATGTCTAAGAAGGAATTTCCTGAGGATCCCTGGGTGGCTCAGTGGTTTAGTGCCTGCCTTCGGCTCAGGGCGTGATCCTGGAGTCCCAGGATCGAGTCCCACATCGGGTTCCCTGCATGGAGCCTGCTTCTCCCTCTGCCTGTGTCTCTGTCTCTCTCTCTCTGTGTGTGTGTGTGTGTGTGCCTCTCATGAATAAATAAATAAAATCTTTTAAAAAAAAATAAAAGAAGGAACTTCCCATGTCCTTGCCATACTTTAGTGCGGTCTGCACTCCTCACGTGTATTCTAGAATGATCCCTCGCATGTGGCTATTTGGGGCGTGGCGAGGGAAAGTCAGGATGAAGATAAACACTAGGAGGAAGGAGTGGGAGGATTTGGAAAAGACTGTTTCTCTCAACAGCACACAATCATGTTAAACAGAGAAGCTAGTGGGCGGGATTTAGATATGCTTCAAGTCCACAAGAGAGGTGGTTAGAGCTTAAAATTAAAAGCCTTGATTTTCTAGAATAAAACTTCCCAAATTTAAGGATGTAGGCAGTTCAGAGATCATAAACCTTTCGAGGTTCAGCCATCTTCACTTGTAACATAGAATTAACACTTGTCTTGAAAATACACAAAACAGTCCTATTTTAAATTATTTTTATTTTTTTTAAAGATTTTATTTATTTATTCATGAGCAACACAGAGAGAGGCAGAGACATAGGCAGAGGGAGAAGTAGGCCTCCCTGCAGAGAGCCTTATGTGGGACTCGATCCCTGGACCCCAAGATGACGCCCTGAAGCAAAGGCAGATGCTCAACCACTGAGCCACTCAGGCTTCCCCACAAAGGAGTCTTTTCTGGAAGATGAGTTATTTAGGAATTTTCCTACAACGGTAAACATTACCTACTCTTTTTGTACATATAACACCCTTGAACACTCACTCTTCATCTGGTGAGGAATTCCACTCTGTAGAGTCCATTCCTCCTAAGGTAGAAACCCAAAGTCTCTTCCCCAGACTCCTTTATAGCTTTGGTTTATTCACATGAACAAAAATCTATCTGCAGACTGCCAGTCAGTCTAGAAGCTAGTGATACCCAAAGGTGGGGTCCCAGAGAATCCATGCTGTGAGGATGGCACAGCTGTATCCAGAATCCAGTGGCTGCAGGGCAGAGCTCCTGGTGGTATCAGAGGTGGGGGTTCAGTGTTGCAAATTACAGTGCTCTCTCTGCGGGTGGCAGAGAGGTTACAGTGAGGTTACAAAGTGATTTGGGTTTATTCCTTTACCCTTTAAACCTTTATTTGGTTTCCACAGTGATAAGGACAGAGCTGCTCATAGAAACTCATAGAATTGGTGGGAAGATGAAAAGATAACGCAGGTGAAAACATCAGCACTTGGACTTTCTAGTTACCATGAAGGTCGGTTCCTTCCTTTCTTTCCCCATAGTCTCTGTTCTATTTCTCTCTCCAGGGTCCTGGGCTAGTTTTCTCATGAACTCAAGAGTCCTGAGCTGACTGAACAAGAGTCTACTAGATGTAAGTCCCCAGTTCTTTTTTTAAATTTATTTTTATTTTTTTAAAAAGATTTTATTTATTCATGAGAGAAACAGAGAAAAAGGCAGAGACGTAGACAGAGGGAGTCTCAGGGAGTGATCCTTTATTCATTTTATGAGCTTAAGTTGTTGCTCAAAATACAAAAATGTTTCCATATAGAAACCTTCATTTTAAGGTACTGCATGTTTAACAAACAAACAAATACCTTTCATCTGTATAATGTTATTTAATCTTCATAAAAATCCCTAATAGTACATTATATAATTTTCATATTGGAGATGAGGAACCTAAAGTTCAGATAGATAGAACAAGGATCTTACACAAGTTCTAGGGCACAGATTAATAAATAATAATACAATTAATGGACTTTGGAACTACATAGTAGATTCAAGTCTCTCTACTTCCTATTTATTGGGTGACTTTGTTCAAGTGACTGAACTCTGTCTCTCAGTTTCCTCATCTATAGAATGGGGTGATGGATATGATAGTACCTTTCTCAAAGCCTTATGATGATAACTAAATGAGTTTTAACTATTCCTGGGACAGGTCTTGGCATGCAGAAAGTGCAGTAGAAGTGTCAGATATTATTGCTATAAAACTAGTAACTGATAGAGTCTGAACTTGAACTGAAGTCTTCTGATGTCAAATTTGGAGCCAGAAAAACCTAGATTCTAATTCTTATTGCACTATGTAAAGGCTGTGTGAATTTTTGGGTGAGCATTTTCTTCATCAATTGGGAATAAAAAATACATACATAACAGACTACTCATGAGGTTAAATTTGTCTATATAATAAAGAAACTACATAAATGTACTACAGGAGCCTGATGTACATCAGCAGTAGTAGACTGTTCCACTTCCAAGTCCTGAGCAAGTACTTTTATGTCTCTATTTACATATGATATGATGATTAATACCAATTGCTATGGAAAGCTTAGTGTACACAGTGCTACATTTCTTGACTCCTTTACTTTTTAAAATGCAGGGAGCCCAATGTGGGACTCGATCCTGGGACCATGGGATCACTCCCTGAGCCAAAAGCAGATGCTCAACCCCTGAGACACCCAGGTGTCCCTAAGTCCCCAGTTCTATGGCAACGCAAAGAAGAGGCATTCCACCAGCCTAAGGGATGAAGACAAAAGGGCAGGGGATGGGGCTTCTAGGCAGAGGGGACAAGAAAGCAAAGGATAGGCTCCAAACCACTTGGCCTCAAGAAGGGATAGAAACAGGAATATAATCTGGTGGTCTGGAGGGCTTGGGGGGGCTTGCGGTTCTGCTCTTGCAGTTTGTTTGATGCTGCATAAACATAATTATTGACATGGAAAGTTGTTTACAATATGCTGTTAAATGATAAAAGCAGGTTACAGAGCAGTAAATGCACTATGAGACCATTTTTGTGTAGTGTAGATGTACCTATGCGTACATATGTGTATGTATTTTATAGAGTATATATATATATATTACTACAGTATATACTCATATAAATATCTGTTTTAACAATATTTAATTTTAGGTTGTGATATTGTAGGTGCCATTTAAAAAAAGTATTTTAAATTACCTATAGTTGATGATTTTTCTTAAATGAATATGCATTGTTTGTGTAATAAAAAGTTAAAAAAGAGAAAAAAAATCATGTTCCTAAATAGTCTTCAAACACATGATTTATTTCACTGATGGTCTGTTGTTGGATATTATGTGGTTTCCAGTTTGTCCCTATTATAAAAAATGCTGGCTTTAATCAAGTAGAGTTTTGTTTGTTTATTCATTTTTTTCTTAGAAAGGTATTTTTGATTACTTGAGTGACTTAGTTTAGCTGTTTTATATCTTTTTCAATATATGTATTTTAAAGACTTTATTCTTCCATTTGACAGAGAGAGAGAGAAAGAAAGAGAGAGAAAGAGCACATAAGCAGGGGGAGCAGCAAGCAGAGGGAGAAGCAGGCTCCTTGTTGAGCATGGAGCCTGACATGGGGCTTGATCCAAGGACCCCAGGATCATGACCTGAGCCAAAGGCAGCCACTTAATCGACTGACATACCCAGGTGCCCCCTTTACAATGTATTTTTAAGGAAAGAAATTCCTTTTTTTTTTTTTTTACGTTCCCTCCTCTTTTCTACTTCTTTATAAAATGTCCTGAATTTCCAGAATAGATGAAGCTCCAAGGTAAGCTGGAACTCTAATTTTCTGGACATTCACAAAATGAGATAATACATGCCAAATCGCAAACAGAAGGCAAGTGTTGCAAACTGCTCTCTCCATCCTTAAGTAAAGAGAACACTTCACACAAAGACTAAAGGTGAAATACCCATGCTGAAAAGTCTCTTTAAAACAGTAGACATTTTACATTTTCTCACTTGATCATCAAAACAAAACCAAACTAAACCATAAAGAATATTTCTTTTCTACATGTTCGTTTTGCCAACACATTCCTTTATATTAAAAATGAAAAGACCTTAAAATACTCTCAGAGATAGCAAAGCCTTGGAGAGCAAGTTTACATGCAGGGCTGGAGATATTCATTAAAATTGTAATTAGACTCACGATTAAATTCATTCACAGTAGAAACTTTGCTTGTAAGTGTTGCTACAGGAAGAAACCTCCGTCTGAAAATTAGTTCAGCAGTCTGAGCGATTTTAATTATGCAGAGTTGATTATCGCTAGAGAAGGAAACCTTTATTGCAGCCACAGAATGAAGATCTTCTTTTTTTTTTTTTGTTTCCTGAGCTAATAATAATAATATAGGT